TCCTCCGGGAGCTTCTACATCTGGAATCATAATCACAGATAAAAACCTTGACAAAATTGCATCTGAGCACATTCTCTCCGCAGCCCTTACTGCCTCATAACATTTAATACAATATTAATACCTGCTACCGAAAGGCAGGAGGGAGGAAAAGGGCTGCCAACCTCTGCGTTTCCTGATGCATCATGTTCAAACCTGAAATTCACACTTCGTGTTTCATTTTAAGTTCAGTGCATTTAACAGGGCCCTAGAGAGAGAGCCCTGGTTAGTTCCCCAACCTGCTAGCTGACGCCCAGGGAGGCGGTTTCAGAATTGTTCAGATCGCTGCAGGGAGAAGAGGAGGAGGAATTGGGCTCCTCTCTGCCTGCAATGGGCCAAGCCACGTCTCTATTCTAGGTTCACACAAAAGGGGCTCCTCTTGGAAATAACTAAGGCCCCAGTGGTTTTTACTGTCCATAGAGGTGATCAGCAGATTTTCTGTATGGTGTGACCAAGGCAGTGAACTGATTTCATAAAGAAAGATAGCCATGGCTGGGTAGATATGCTGCTGACTGTCTCTTGCATCAATATAAAACAGTCCCTTTTGCTGAACATGGGCCAGAAGCATGGCAAAAAGGGGGTCCGTGCTGAAGATACGGGAATTTTTCTGCAGTCACTGTAACTTGCTGTCACCCCCCCACCTTTTCTTGGAGGTGCGCACAACCCCACATTCCTATACAGGGACAAAGAATCACCATTCCTCTGCTATATAAACTGGACACAGAGGTTAGAGAGAAGGGGCAAGTACAGGAAGCATAGCCCATTGGGGGCCTCCTGAGGGCACACGCTGTACCCTGGAAACGGACTTTGAAATATTGGTGGCTTTGTTCAGTCATTGCTGTTCTCTAGGGAGAATTAGGGTCAAAATAGACCAGGTGTGCCACTATCTCTTTTTCAAATTTAAGTCTCTAGGATTCCGGAATGAATAACCAGTACCCCTAACAGCAGCCTTAGTCCGGAGGGGGAAGCTGGTGCATACATACGCGCAGACACACACACACACACACACACACACACACACACACACACAATTTCCCTGAGCAAGACACACTTTGGCAAGCAAGGAGTGTAATTTGCTGAATGATGCAAGCGCGCTTCAAGCAGAGGAGACGTTATACTCTACTCAAGGAACAGAGGCAGGCAACTGGCCTTGTGGCTGCAGACAGAAGCTTTAGGAACAGTCCTCTCTACTCCAAGGCAGAGGAGAGACGCTGATTTTGCCTCTTTCTTCTCTACAGTTATTATTCAAGAGGTTTTCCCCACCCCATATCCCAGTACCACCCTTAGAGTCTGTGGTCAGCCACCGGCAGTACCCGAAGGGGGGCCCCAGGCAGGAGACTGGGGCCAAGGAGGGCGGCTCCCCGGAGCAGAACCCTTCCCTGATGGCTCCCAAATCCGGCGTTTTCTCTGCCCGCCTTTCCCTCGGGGGAGACTCGGGAAGGCTGCAGAAATCTGGGCGCCCGCTCGCTCGCTTGTCAAGAAGCAAACTGTCTTCACATTCTCCAAGAGCAACATCCCTGCCTAGGGAAGAGGAAGGAAGAGGCAAAATAAATAAAACCAGTTAATGTTGTAGTTAACTTGCAAATCAAGTAAATCTGTTGGTGCCGTATTTGAGAAATAAACCATCAGAGCGTCACAGCAAACACACACTTCTGAACGTCTTCATTTTGATTTAATGGTATATCAGCGTCAACTATCGCTTCCTCTGCTGGTACACACGGCCTGATGCCGCGGGAGGAGGGTGCCCATGTTTATCACCGAGTGAGATGACTAATTACACCTTGTCAATCACCGGCTATGAAGACATAAAACCAGCGCGCACAATGAAGTAGTTGCCTGCAGCGTCAATTAGTTGGCGATTCCGAGGTTATTGCGTGGCCCTGCTTTGGCCGCCTCTAATAACGGGACGGAGCGCCGGGAACGGCACTGATCAATCACCCTCCTTCCGCGGCTCGCCCTCACCCTCCCCCTCGCCCCCGCCCGGCCCGGCCTCACTTTCTCCGGGCGGGCGACGCGCGCTTCCTCCCTCCGCGGCCCCGGCTCGGTGGCGCCGGCAGCCCCGGGAGCCCCGGGAAGTTTGTGCGCGGCAGCTCCGCAGCCGGCAGCCGGGAGCCCCGCAGCCTTCGGGGAGCGCTAGGGCTGGTGGCCCCTTTGTTGGAGGAGGCGTGGAGGGAGCGCTTTTGTTCCGAGTTAGTCACGGTGGCCGGCTGGAGGCTGCTACCTCATTATGCGCCGGGTCTGCTTGTCTGCTAGGAAGCAGATGGTGGGGAGGTAGGCAGCGGCTACAGTGGCCAGACCTGAATTCCGTTCACCTGTCACCTCCCACAAAAGGCAGGTTCTGGGGACTTGGGGATTCTTTTCCCGATCAGGGGGAGGGGCGCCTACTAAGGTTCTGTTTACCTGTAGGTGTTGATTCCCTCCCACCCCCTGCCTCTCCCTCCGCTGCGGCTTCTCGCGCCGTGTAAATGTCACTCACGTGTCAGGAGATGTGTTTACAGCCTGTTCCTCTCCTTGTTTAGTCTCCCCGGACAGGGCTCCGCGGTTGCGCGACGTCCCCCGCCGCTGGGGGAGATTAGCGGTTACCGGGACCTCAACCCCAGGGCGGGATGCCCGGATCCGGCCCCGCGGAAGGAGATGTGCTCGAGCCCGGTCCGGACCCGAGCGCGTCCTAGCCTGGCTCCGAAGGGTAAAGAGAGGAGCGCACCCGGCGGGAATCCACACTGCCTGGGAATTTGGGGTCATCCAGCGATGCAAGGGGGTGCTGGAGACAGAGGAAGCATATGCAAATATACATAGGGGCAGTGAAGAGCCACTGGGTGTGTTTCCAGGGTTCTTGAGAAGCCCTCAGCAAGAATTACGGAGTACCCCACTTCAGCTCCCACCGCAGCCTCTAGAGCTTTCAGAAACGCCTTATATCCAGCCAGCACCAAAAACAAACACTCCGGCATTGTTGCAAAATTTTTCCTACCCCTTGGGCGACCTCCAGATGAACCCTGGTGACTCCTAGATTAGATTTTCATTCCCTATAAATTTGAAAGAAAGTGCCCCCAGATGCGTCACTAAAACATATCTGTGTATCCGTGTGGGCGTCCCCGTGCCTAGGCGCCGGCCCTGTGCGGGCTCTGAGGCACACCTCTGTGTGAACACGCGCACGCGTGTTGGATTCATGGTCCTTCCTTCGAGTTGGGGCATCTGTGCACGTGCAGCGTGTACACACATACTTGTAACTTCAAGAGTTTTTGCAAATATGTAAAAACATAACTAAGAAGAATGTACATAGAGATTTAAATAGGACTGCTTGAGCACCCAAGTATGTGATTAGTGTGTAGCTTTCCGAATTCATCTGCTAGGTAATGGACACTTGTACCTCGTGTACATATGTACACCCTAGCTCTTCATCTGTGCTGGCTGTGGTTGTGCCAACAAATACAAATTCGTGCTGCCTGTATTTTTGCCATAAGTGATGAACATGTGCCCTTGCAGACCTGAACACGAGCGCACGTACTGGGACATGACAAGCACATGTATTGTTTGCATGTGAAAATTATGCAGATAGGTGGAAATTATGATTTACCATTGCCTCAACTTTACACCCTGTCGGATAATCCCAGCTTTCTTTCTGCCCTGTCCAGGCAAGCAGATCACTTCAGACTAACACATCTCTCCCCACTTCATGGAGTGAAAGAAACCTACTTCCAAAACAAGACTCAGGGCATTGGACTGAATAACTTACTTGTTTATTTCATTTTTCTCCACAATCACTTTTTATTTCCGAAACCACACTCTACCAGACAACTAGGCATTGCTCTGGATTCCCCCGAGAGACTCCAGGTTAAGCTTGAGGTCTGGAGGCTGGGTTTGGCAGTTGGGATTTACCCAGCAAGCTAAAAGGTTGCTGGTCCTTGGCCCAAAAGTGCAGCCAGCTGGCTGGGTGGACCCATCTATCACCTACCTGTGTCGGTGTGGGTGGCACGGTGTGCCCAGTGAGCAGAGAATGTGCCCCTGACTTTAAGAACACCTTTGATACCAAATGCCATACTTATTGGGGTGAGAAATTTTTAATAGTAAAGAAGAGGGAAGTGATTAAAAAATTTGGGTAGTGCTTACTGTATTTCAGACATTTTACTTGCATGATCTTTCTTCATCCCATCAATGTGCACGAGACTTTCTTGCCTCCCACTAACAAAGTCAGAAACAGACTAAGAGAGTTAAGCTCACTTGCCTAAGATTATAGGGCATGTAAATAACAGACCTAAGATTCGAACTGTGCTTTTGAGCTCTCAAAGCCATGCTTGCCCCCACTCTTCCAGGCCGGAGTGAGAGGGAGGAGAGCAAGGAGCTTCCTGCTTGGCGCTAAGTTGGGCCCTGTCGCTTGGAGCGAGGATATGCTGGCTGGGAGTCACAGCTCCAGCCGGTTCTTGCCTTTCGGGCTCAGCTGGGTCCCCAGGAAGCCTGCGATGCGGCCCCGAAGCCTTCGGCAGGGCGGCCAGGACAGAGGCCGAGCTGGCGGGAAGTGGCCGAAGGCTCTAGCAACTCTGCCCTAGGCCTGGCTTCCCGGGCCTCCCCAGACAGTGCCCGAGGCCATGCGGAGACAGGAGTGAGACCACCTAGAGCATCCTTGGGCTGTGCCTTCCTAGGATGGTGACAGCGAGGGGAGAGCGAAGGTTTAATTTTCCTTCCCGCAGAAATCGCAGGAAACTGTTCGTAGCTTAAAAACTCCAAACCCCGCGCTCTCCCGCCTCTCTCCCGCCCGCCTCCTCCTCCAGCCTCGCCCACCAGCTCCCACCATCTCCTCTCTTCTCCTCTTGCCTCTCCCCTCCCTCTCGGGTCTCCCGCCTTCTCGGAGCACGCGCTGCCAGGGCCTGGGGCGCCCGGCGGCCAATGGCACGGCGGCAGGACGTGATGTCAGGCGCGGCTGTAGAAAAGGCGCGGAGGCTTGCGCTGGCGCGGACTGCAGAGCCAGGGCTGGGCTCGGCGCGCTCTTGGAGAGCCTCGCGCGGCTGGGCCCGCGGCCGCCGGCTCCTCCTCCTACTCTGCTCCTCCTCCTTTTTCTCCTCCTCCACCTCCTCCCCCGCCTCCTCCTCCTCCTCTTCCTCCTCCTCCTCTTCAATTCTCCGGGTGGCTCGGCTCGGCTCGCTGGCTTCGGAGAAACCCCTACTCCAGTCGCCGACTCAGCGCCCAAAAGGGTCGCCTAGGGCTGGGGGCGCACCCTAGGGAGAGGAAGGGTCCAGGCAGCGGGGCCGCCACGGGCACCTAGCCATTCCTGGGTGAACCCTGACCGCAGCCGTCGCCGCCTAGGGCAGAGTTTGCGCCCCTGCTTTGCGCCCTGGGCGCCAAAGCCGGGAGGGCGATGCCCGCGGCGTGAAAGCGCCCGCGGCGGGCGCCGACCTCTGCCCCCATCTCCTGGCCGCCCCCCGCCCCGTGCCCTTGTGACCCTGGCTTTGGCGCCGCTGCTCAGGCGCCCCGCGATGTAGCTGCC